GTCAAACTCTTGGGACACGTACTCCTCGTAGTTATATAATCGCAAAAACTTCACCTTCTCTTATGTCTAAGTCTCAACTTGGGCTCTCCACTTCTTAAAAGTGACAAAGACATCATATTTGTGTGGAAGAAAGTAGATCCACACATATCTTGAGTAATTATCAATAAACGTTACATAGTATTACTTGCTAGAATGTGAGTCAACAGTTGAATGTCTCCATAGATCATAATGAGCATACTCAAGAACTATCTTGGAACTATGAACCTTAGTTTCAAAAGCACGTCTCGCGTGCTTTCCAAATACACAATATTCACAGATTTCATGCTTGCAAGACCTCAAGCTAGGTAATAAATTCTGTTTGTGTAAAATGTTCATAGCTTTTTCACTCATGTGGCCAAGACGAGCATGCCACAATCTTATTTCATCCTTCAATGATGTTGTAGCATTGGCCTCACCAAGAATTGTAGACCACTCTAAGATGTACAAATTTGTATGCTTGTGAGCTTTCATTGTCACGTTGGAACCTTTTTCAACAGTGAAAATTCCATCAACACCTCTCAAATGAAAGACTTTCATGTCAATATCCTCGAGTGAAATTAAATTCTTACGCATACTCAAAATGTGCGTAACTTTTGTCAATGTTAGTACATTTTCATCAAACATTTAAATGCGAATGTATCAAAATCATCACTCTTACAAGAGTGATTATTTTTCATTAAGACTGAATCTTGAAATGATGCGTAAGTAGTAAAAAAAATTTCAAATAAAACACATGTGATAAGAGCGAGCGGAGTTCAAAATCCATTCATCACTTCCTGTGAGAGAAGATATTCACAAGACATAATCTTCATCATTGTTGGTCACAATATTAGCGGAGTAACCAACATATTTCTTTCTCTTCTGTTGCGACTTACTACAAAAATCCTTTTTCTTGTGGCCCAACTTGTCACATTTCCAACACTTCATCTCCTTCTTGTTGCCTTCTTTTGAATTGGACCAATTTTGCGACTTGCTCATATTGGTGGATTGCTTTTCCAATTTCTCACGAATGACAAATTGGGCAGTAGAAGAAGAAGAAGGTGTTGAAGAAGAAACCAACTTTTGTTGGATGTCGTACGTCAATAAATATATCACTAGCTCGTTATAAGTGATGCTCTCTTTGTCTCGATGAAGCAACACACAAGATAGAGTATGTTATGAGACTGGCAAGAAGCTCAAAAGCTGCAATGTTTTTTTCTCATCACTCAAATTCTCATCCAAGTTCAAAAGATCCACTTAGAAATCATTGAAAGCATCGATGTGATCCTGGATCTTTGTACCTTCGATCATGTTGAAACTCATCAGTTTTAACGATGTGAAAAACCAATTTGACAACTCCTTTATTTGATACTTTGTTTAAAGCGCTTGAAACATAGTTGTCACAGTCTCCAACTCCTCAACTTGTTTCAACACATTCCGCTTCAAATAGAGAGTCAAAGCTTGATCTTGAATCTCATTCTAATCCTCGTCATCAACATTTAGGGTTTTGGTTTGAGAACCTTCTTCAAATCCATTGCTTTGATCACATTCTTGACTTGCTGTTCCCATAAGAGATAGTAGGTATGACCATCAAAACGTCCAACTTCAAACCTCGGTCCACCAACCTTAGATAGCGCCATAGGTTCGATCAGCCAATTCTCAATTTGATAACATTCCAGAATGACTTCAATAGGATACTCAAAAAGAAAACTTGACTTCTCATTTTTGTCATCTGTATGCAAGAGTTCAGCACCTTTCGCAAAAATTGGAATAAGTTCCGCTCCTCGCTTTAAGCTACTTATGTTCATAAAGCGCTCAGAGTGTTTACAATCCTCAACATTTAGCCTCAAAAATTGTCAAAAATTGAAATCTGATACCATCACGCATAGATCAGAAGCTAATCCACTAGAATGTGAAAATGGTTTGTCAAAATCAACTCCAATTTAAAAAATATTACTCATAGAGTTAAGGGGATAAAAACTTGAATTTGGATCAACAAGGATATCTTTACTACCAAAACTTTACAAGAAGTTTATTTCCAAAACCGTCTCTTGTATCGCGTGCTCAACTTTGTTGAAAACTACCTTGCAAAATTTGAGCTCAAACAAACATAGTTTGCTTGGTCTAATCAATAAAAATTGCCAAAAACACTCTCTTTATTTGATTTTTTTTAGATAATTTTTTCACATGGACGTATTTCCTTGTGGGTCACAAGCTGCTTTGTATTACTCGGATCGGAGGGTTCCACGTATTTCCTTGTGGAACCCTCCGATCCGAGTAATACAAAGCAGCTTGTGACCCGAGTTATTCAAAGTTTTGTTCAAAATTGCTCAAACCCTAAATCCGCAGTTTGTCACTCTGAATTTGCGTGCTTGCAAAACCATCATAGCCGAATTTGACCTCATCTTCAAACACCATAACTTCGCGACCTCTCAAAAAAATTCAAAAAAATTTAAATCAAAACGATTGTCTTGAAGAGTAGATTAAGTCTATGTGTGAAAAATCAAAAAATTTAGTGATGAAAAATTCAAATTTTGAGAAATCAAAGCGGTTTCTCTGATATTAGAATAGAAGAGATCTCTTCACTTCAAATTTTAAAAAATCTCCCTCATCATTCAATGAAACTATCTTCTTCTTTCATCAAAGTGTAATCAGTGCCTCTAGCTACTCTTCTACAGAAAATCAGCTAACAATTACTTCAAATTGCGAGTAAATATGTTTATAGCGCTTCTGCGCTCCCTGGTCTCCAAGAAACTTTAGATATAAAAAATTTGCGTGCATTGAACTAGCTCTGATACCAGTTGAAAGGTCCAATCATTAAGATCTATTAGCACGCACGACAGTCACAACATTGAGACAATGTGGTTCACCTTTCACATGCTACATCAATGGCTAAGAGTAGACTGTTCACTAAAGCAGAAGTGTATACATGGCATCTATAGCTAACCTCTACTTCCTGCTCACTCTCAAAATGCAACTTTGAACTGTATGTAGTGAGTGTCTCATTTTCTATTCTATACAAGAAAAGATAAAGTGCACATCTTAGCAAACCTAATCACAGTTAACTTTCCTACCCATGGTTATCACTAATTGGATTTAATCCAAGATAGAACCTAACATTGAAATGAGCTTGATTTAACTTTTATGTGAGTTAGTGTTTAAGCCAGTGGGGTTTATACAATCGTTTTCACTCAAAAATTTTAAAATTATGGTACATTTGTATTTATGTATGATTTTGTCTATGATTTGTGTGTATGGTATGTCCGCAATGTATATTATATGAAGATATGTATTCTCAAGATAATTTTCAACTCCAAATAAAATATAAGGTTTGCATAATGTCATGTTCACATCGAAAACCCATTATCCAGCAGGCAAATTGGATGATTTTGTGAGAAAAAACAACCCTAGAATCGCCAGAGAACATTTCACGATTTTGAGCTTATGTAATTTGAATAAAGTGTCTCTTTATGTTGATACACTTTTTTTATCATTTAGAATGAAGTCTTGAATAAAAAGGCGGACTTCAGCGATTGACTACTGTATGTTTATTCTTGCTTACCGAATAGATATGCAACTAATCCTAAATAGGGAGCAGTAAACACGGAATTCAAAGCAATCCTGCTCTTTGTTCGAGTTTGCGACGGTGCTGAACACCAAGGAAAGCACGGATTTCTGCCCTTGAAGTGAGAGACTATTTAAGCTGTCAATTATAGTAGCAGAAACATGAACTGAAGTTTGACCGGTACATTAGTATTCAGCAGGTACAGGACGGAGTGAAGGCTAGGCAAGGAGGACGAACATTGCGGAGAGCGTGCAACCCCCTGCGGAAGGACCTCCTCACACCCAAGCAAGCAAGCATTTGGAAGTACGGCCACGCAAAGTACAATGGGAAGTAGGAGTAGCGACAGGAGCAGCAGCAGGGACAGGCGGTCAGATGGACGGATGGACCATAACGACGGTCCAGAAGAAGGTGGATGGTGCATCCGCGTGCCGAGAGTAACGTGGATCTCCGGTCGGTCCTTAACTCAAGGACGTTCCAACTGCTCCTTCAATTCCCTGGTTCCCCGGTACAAGGGACTGCATAGTGTCTGGTCCTCGAGTCTCAAGTCTTGGTCAAGGTTGCGATTTGTTCAATATTAATGACTTACTTATCCTTACACGGATCCATGTTCATTGCATTCCGTGGAACCAGTTCCCATGTAGAACTCTAGCATAGTTCACCTTGCATGACTCCATATCACCCAGGAAAAGCGAATGAAGAATATTGATTTAGATTAAAATAACTTCCAGGTAGCATGTGAAGAAAGTACAAGGTAGACGACGGAAATGTTCCCGACAAGATTCTTGCGTGGGTGCTAATCTGATTTCTAGTTTATACAATGATCAAGCAAGGAGGATGAAGATGATTTACCAAAGTGTATATGTATTATAGTAATTTTACTACTGAATTTCATGTCAAAAAATCAAAATTTTTACCATAATGGCGAGCCTTTTTACATAGATAATCTTGGTTGCAGAAGAATAAGCCAGACCTATCAGTGTCCGAAAAAAATTACCCAATATCAGAAACCAGAGATGAGGAAAATGCAACTCGTGTCTGTTAGTTAAGTTTTTTTCCAATAAGCCTATGATTTAGCCATGTTAGTAACATAGGGTTGACACTTATGACTGTAAATGTACATCTAAAATCCAATACAAGTCATGCAACAAAATACTCTACAGCATGATCCACTTTTCTGTTTTTATTGCCTAGAAATGTTGAATAATGAATGTCTGTTTCCTCTATGTACTCTGTGCTCGTGTACATTTAGCAGCTTCTTGAAACCCTTCTTTTGTGTAGTTGTCTTTTCAACCACAAAGTGTGAACACTGACCTTCATTGGATCTGAGTTCGTTTTATCACAAGATAAAAATTCATATCGCTTCTTTTGTATGCACATGCATGTGTTCCCGTGGTGATTGTGAAGATTCAACTATCTGAAAGTCAAGTATACTGTCATCAACACGAATGCTGTCTTACGTCTTCTTGGACAGCTTTTTGATGTTCGAATTCATGTTTTGCAGTGGGAATGAAGTCAAAAGAAGGTCAGGTGAATCTTTGAAATAGTTGCTTCATGCGAATCCCTTCCCGGATGAATAGGAAGAGGATGGAGAATCCCTGTCGAAGAGTACGGAACAAAGAATGGAACAAAACAATCTGTGCAGAAAAGAAAGTGTATCTGGATTTCAAGAGTTCTGTGATTCAAGAAGAGTCCTCGAAGAGTAAGCGGTTCATCCCTACCCAATCAAACATCTTATAAACATAGTCTAACTAGAGATACTGTACTGTGTGTGTGGGATTATGACTGGTCAAATTGCTTGTACATTATAGGTCCACAAGAATGGGAAAATGTCAAAGTAACACACTTATAAGCCAAACAAATTTGGACCGGACTCTTTACTGTATGTCAATGAAGTTATATCGCTACAGATGGGCCAGGGTCAAATTATAAATTATCTAACTCTTGAAAAAAACATGTTTCATGTGGACTGGAAGGTTTACAGCTCGATATCCATGTGTTGCAGAGCGGGAAAGCGAACCTATCAATCCGGCATCCAGTTTCGTTGGATATTCATGGGTCCATCCAACAGCGAGAGCTCTATCATGTTCGGGAGAGAAAGAGATGAATTTGCTCCAAAGGAGATGTCAATGTAATGTGACAATGCAAGCTCTGCGTGGTCTAGTTGTAAGCATTAAATCCAAAGTCCTGGTCTGATGGATGGGAAGCTTGTGATGCTCCAGACTTGAACCCTCCTCAATACGAATGATGGATGGATGCTTCACTTTGGACGTCTTCATAGCTCCTCAATGGCGTGGCGGGCTCAGGATGCTCGTCTGATTCTGCCCTTTGTCTTTTCCACATTCGCTCGAAATTGGTTGCTTCTATCCCTTCTCTGTCTCGGCTCTTTGAGTCCCTCAGACTTTCTCTTCATTTTCCTTTTCCTTCTTTGAACAGCTTGGTCGGGCCCTCGCACCCACTTTTACCTCACGTCAGAGTCTCCAGGTGAGGAAGAATGGACGACATATGATGAAAAAGTGTGTGGGCCTTGAGTCCATCCTTCACCACTCAAAGCCCATTGTGCCCACCTCATTCTCACCGGATTGACCATTGACACTTCTTTCAGCTCGAAAAGGCCGATCGGATATGCGGATAATGACTTCCTCGCGGTCAAGACCTCGGAAGAGTTGAAGTTCAGATGGTTCAATGGCATGGTGGCATATATACGATTTGCCTACTGTGGGAGTAGGAAATCATGGATTCATTTATCTGGTGTACGTGTTATGAGGTTATTAGTACTCTAGGTTCTTAACACTTAGAGTAGTACCGTTGCGATCTACGCTGACAACGTAGGTTCAAGCAGAAGGGAACATGCTTCAACATGAGACCTACGAGTAGGAGCACCGTGAGCTTAGGATGAATTATGGCAGAAGAGGGGAATCAATGTATAATACAAAGGGGGAGCGAAAGGGGATGGAATCAAATGGCGAATGGACTGAATTAAGGGAATGTGCGACAGTTCTCACAGCAGGTATGTATGTGTATGACAAGGAGATCGAGCTCGGAGGCAGATGGTTGGGTCGGGAAGATATTTCCCCATCAAGTGTGGATGGATTGTGGCGCACTTAGCAGGCAGAAAGAATGGCTAAGAGATCTTTGACCGGCTCACAGATAGTCCAGGAGGAGTCAAAGCCGACTGAGTTTTGCAGCAGCAGCAGCAGCCCAGCGGCACATGATGATGTCTCAGACTGGTGGTGTGATTGTGGGATATGGATGAGTAATATTCCGGGCCATGAGTGTGGGGTGGAAGTGAAAACTGAGATCCGAGATCGAACACTCGCAAAAGTGTGTCTTGTCGAGACTCAGAGGTGCTGTGCTGCACCTGGGCTTGACTCTGGAGAGTTGCGGGTGCTTTCAAGTTCCAACTTGTGCTCAGTGCAGAAGAAGGCCATGTTGGTGATGATCAAGCGGGAGGGGTGTTTCTTGGATCTTGATTGTGGAGTGGGTAGACTGGGGTGGCATGGCACAGCAGGGTTGAAACTTCTTTAGTCCAGGAGATGATGATGATGTAGTAGAAGAAGAAGATGAAGATGAGCAGGAGGATGGGGACATTTAGGAGGAGATCGAGCAGAATTGAGGGCGAGCAGGAAGAGCGGGACCGGCGAAGGACAGCGGAATGGAATAGAGAGAGAGAGAGAGAGAGAGAGAGAGAGAGAGAGAGAGAGAGAGAGAGAAAAGGGCCCGGGGCGAGGAGGAGGAGGATGGGGCTGGGAGCATGAATAATGATGATGGCTGAGTGCGTTTTACTCATCATTCTCTGGAGATCTCTGCTCCTCCTCAATGTCCTCATGCTGCTGAGCTGCCACCACCTCCTTTCTCGCTCGCTCCCACACCTTTTTACGTACATCGATCGCCTACATCACCGTCGGATCAGTCCCAGCTGAGCTAGCACTTCTGCGCCGCTCTGCACACTGCACTAGTTGATCTGATCTGCAGGCTCTAGCTTCCTAGCGGCTAGCGTCTCCCTCCCTCCCTCCCTCTGCCTGCCTGCTGGGCTGGGCTGCGCCGGGCCGGGCCGGGCGCACCTGAGCTTGAGCCCCAAGGAACAGTGGACTGGCTAGATCCGAAAAAGCTCACAGGCAGGAGGCAGCAGCAGGATCGCCATCGCCATCACTGTAAGCATCGGCTGCAGCTCCTGCCTCCATCCGGTTCAGGGAGGAGGAGGCCGAGGGACTTGCTTGCTCAGATTTGGGTGGGTTCAGTGGAGTGAAAAGAGAGAGAGAGAGAGAGAGGAGAGGCTCAGGGGACCTTTCTCGGGGTTCATGAACTCACTCGGTGCTCTTTCTCATGGTGGACAGCGGAGCGGGGGGCCATCACATGGCATCTCTGCCCCAGGCGTGTACATCTGGCTGTAGACGATATGTTACAGCTTTTACATTAAATTTGAGTCTATCTTCATCTTCAGGTGCCTGAGCTGTGTCTAACTCGGTGGTGTTTGCACACAAGTCTTTATATTACCCTTCCATGGTAGCGCACACCATTATTTGAGCTGGAGAGGAGCGGCGGCAGCCAGCGGCAGCAGCACAGCAACCATGTTGTGCTGGTGCTGGTGGGGTACCCTATAGGGCACTCGAGATGAAAGAAATTGCCCAACAACAACAATCATGGCCTGTCCGAGGTCTGAAGCATCATTTCTTCCACCTCCAAGCACCACACCCTTTCAATCTCTCTGGGAGCCTAACACTCAAAAGCTTTTCAATTAGCATCCGCCTGCCGTTACTGTCAGTCAGGCATGGGTGGGGGAAGACTTCGGGCAACTTGGCTTCTCTCCACAATGACCAGCTCCACTCCAGCCCTCAGCCCTTCTCCCTCCTCCCCCCACCCCCACCAGCATTCGCACCAGGACTTTGGCCGAAAGGTTGTTGACCTTGAATTATGACTCTCCCCACAACCACCACCACTACTACGACTACTACCACTCCACCCGTAATTTGCAAATGCACTTGCAGTGGCCATGTACCGGACCGCTCTGGACTGCGGTCTAGACTCCGTGCTTCGAAGCTTCAGTGCTAACATGACGTGAAGACGAACGAAGGTCGTCCCGTCGTGTGCGAGCTCGGGGGGACTGTGATCATGCGAGGAGAGGTCCGAAGAACGCAGGCCTCAATGACACCCGCATCCTATTTCGAGCTCATGAGATGGACTTCTCCCCGCTAATCATTATGCACGTCCGCTAACGGTCAGATTTCCCGTTCGCCTTCATTCACACCAGTACAAACGCAGGACAGGGACAACAAGATGCACGTCCTGTTGTCTCTTCCCCCTTCATGAGATCGGACTACTCGCCCCCTGCCCCCAGCCCCAGTAGTAATTTGGCCCTCTCGTACAAGGACCAGTGCGCCGAGATGTAGTTTCGGACTTAGGACCCCATGGCAAGATGGCATTATCTTGTCTCGGCATGAGAGTCCCCTCCACTGCTCTCGCAGTGCTGCATCATTCGAGTGATGATTGACTGATTACCATCAGTAACTATATGCCGCTGCCACCGGGCGGGCGGGCAAGCGGTTGGGCACTTTGGTACTCACTCGGTTTCGACGACTGTACTGCGAAATGAAGATGCTACATCCCCCACCCCGCCCGCCCTTCGATGGATGTTTCTCCAGGGCTCCAAGTACGACTATCGCCCACTCGCTCGCTGCATTTTCTTTTGCGATCGAGGCTGCTGTAACACGCTTGGAACTTGCTGTCGTCGAAGCTTCACCTATTCACCTATTTGCCTACTTCCGTCGTTGCAGTGGCTGACGTGAATATTCCTTCCATGGAAGGAAGGAAGATATCCGAGGCCCAGAGAGAGAGAGAGAGTCTCACATCACTGAGATCGGCGAAGAGTGCACGGGTGAGAGGGGGCCGGGGCCGGGGTCGAGGAGAGCCGTGAGAGGATCAGCTCGATTATTCTGTGACACAATGTCATGCTGGGCCACGATCGCTGAGCGCTCGCAGTCCACTCAAATGGAAAGTATTTAGATTCGGCGACTACTGGTAATGCACAGCCACGTTGAGGACCGAGGGGAGGGAACATTCGCAGTCCGGACCGAATTGCACATGGCGCGGGATCGAGTTGCCCAGATTTTAATTCTCGTAGCTCGCAGTTTTTCCGTGAAAAAAGACGGCCAGCTCATGAAAGCCAGGAATCTTGGGCCGCGGTATAATGACAGAGCCGTTTCGAGATTTTGCTCGGCACTGAAAACATGGGGCAGCAGGCTGCTAGTGGCTGGTGGGTAAATGGGTCGCACCCGAGATCAAATATTAGAGATTCCGTTTCTTCCATCGTCACCCCGACCACGTGCAGAGGGGCCCCTGCAATCCGTTGATTTCAACCACAGACTGCGTGTTCGTTCGCTCGGTCGCTCGGTCGATTTCCAGGACCGTCGACAGCAGGTCGGATCCACGGGCTGAGAAAGTGGGGATCGTCTCCATCTGAACATGACAAGCACGTCTTTTGACTTCCTTCCAGACACAAGAAGAGATACTGCACATTCAGCATGATACCATCCGTCATTCTCGAATTGACACCCATCATACTCCGAGACCGTACGCACCGTACACGAAATCTTGGCATAAAGGTCTGCAAGTCGACGAGTTTTTTAAAAGTATGTCCATTGAGCAAAAGAAGACGTTCTCTGTGATATTAACCAAGGCAGCCATCCATCTGGCAGATGGATCATCGGACATGGCCGAGAGCTGGCGTACTCGAAAAATTCCAGCAGAGATACTCTGGAGGATGAGGGACCATCCATGCAACTGTAGACAATTCAGTCGCTCGCGCAGGCGAAAACCATAGGAGTGCTGAACACTGCTGCGACAACGACAGTCCGAGAAGTGATCCACGATCGTGGAAATCTCGGAGCACACTCTCGCAGTTGAGTAGTCATCCATACAGAGGGGACGACGAGAGAACTGGAGCAATTTCAAATGCCGAGACCCACCTCTCCTTCCAGGAACGATCTGGTGTCAGGGCCAGCACCGGAACGTTTGCTCACAGACAGGGATGTCAAGTCGAGGAATCGACAGGTGCATTCAAGCCCGTCGCACGCATGGCACTTTCCTTTGGTTTTACCTACAGCTTAACAGCAGCAATGCAGGCTCTAAGCTCCAGAGCTGTCACATACAGATCATATCCGTACATACCACTATCGACCATTTCGAATGATTTTCACAGACGAAACTGATAAATCCTGCACGAGCACATCCCCTCTCTCCCGCAGTCGACATTGCCACCATGACACTCTTGCTCATGATGATACTTTCCGGTCAGCACCAGGAGGGAAGTATGGTACCTTCGTGAGATCCAAATCAGTCGCTCTCTCTCCAGATTATCCATGGATTTCAGAGACGCACGTCTGAAATGTGGCTGCTTTCGTCATCCTGTAATCTCACTACAGACATATTCCATGGCGGCGCTACTACGGCATCGAATATATATTACAAATTGCACATAGAGCATGCATATATCGACGATAACCTGTGTGCAAACCAACACCTATATGGAATAAAACGAATCTCCACGATTTTCAACAGACATTGATTGCGGATCCAGCATGCATGGCATCAAATTGTGCAAAATGCGTCACATAATACATAGAAGAAACAATCTGATACAGCGGAGAAAATCGAAGATGCTGAGCAGGTGAGATAATACACGCGGTGGGGAGAATTTCAGTGTACGAGAGACCCAATCAATATCTCTCCAGCAGTCACACAAATTGATCCAAAGAAAGAACCAAGGCCTCGGTAATTTTACCTCGTTCCCGGAATTTGGAACTGTCACCTAACCTAAACCTAATCATTCACCAGCTGACCTGACTAAATGTATGCACACAAATGTACTGCTGCCTTTCAGGATATTATAGGCTCTTGAAATCCAAGCTAGTGACAGAAATCTCAAGAAAATGGGTGTTGGCCACGCTAAGAACCAATGGGTGATGTATTCTTCTTCAATTCACAAACCTAAGAGAGGTGAGCGGTGCCACAAAGGAAAGCCTGGCTTATTGGGAAACTCCTGATATCAATCTCAAGAACGTTGTCAAGTTTCATCATGGCAGCAAGCTACTAGGATCCCCCTCCCAAGATACTGGTACATATAGTACAAAGGAAACCCCGCTCTTCATCTTCTTCTCCTCTTCTACTTCATCTAAAGTTCTTCTTCGTCATCTTCGCCTTCAACTTCATCTCTTCGTATAGACGGCAAATGGAGAACCCTATGGACGAGGACGAGGAGGACGACGACGTCTGAAATCCAAAACACCTGAACAAATCACACAGCCTCAATTCACAACAGCACTGGTAGCTTCACTTCACTAAGGGTCACGATTGAGACGGATCATTCCGAGCTCGACGGTGCAGAAATGGCGAATTCCGAGGATTCGCCCGCGGCCAATTTGTGCACCAGGGCCATGAGAGCCACGTCGCGAGAGGAGGTGCGAGCTCGCTCCTGAGCAAAGCGGTAATCCTCCTCCTGCCGCCTCTCATGCTCTCTCAACTCTCGCTCTTGCTCCCTCTTCTCAAAGTCCTCCTCAAACCGTTGTTGTTGTTGCTGTTGCTGTTCAAGCAGACTCTTCACCAACCCCTCGAGCCTCACCGACTTGTCAGTCCCTGAAAAAGTTTCGCCATCACCACGCAGCCCGTCAAAGTTCAGCGCTAGTGAAGAAAGATGGTTGCCATTACTAGCACTAGACACATTCTGCTCCGGCTTCTTTACCTTCTTCGAGCCTCGATCTCCACTACTCCCATTGTCAGGGCTAGAGAAGAAATGGGTTGCGCCGCCATTGCTCGTCGATGCTCCCGGCCCCACGGGGCCCTCACCGGACGGCATCATTGCCAGGATTTCAGAAGCATCCCCTCCTGCACCACCTCCGCCTCCCTGCCCACCGTGCCCCCCGCTATCCTCCCCTCGTTGGCTCGGATGATCTAACAATTCGTCCGAGTTGTCGTCCAGCTTGTTTAACTTGCTACTAGGGTTGCCCAGAACGCCCTTGCGGTAGAGCATGTCTAATTGATGGAAATATGGACAAGTTTTAGCGTTATCGGGCCGCTTTTTATTCGTCTCCTTAGTCTTTCTAAAGTACTTGTTGATATTCTCCCATTTTTCTTTACATCGTTTGGCATTCCGATTATACCCGAGGCACGCCATCCCCGTCGAAATTTCCTCCCACAGAGGGCCCTTGGGGCCGGCCTCTTGAAATCTCGTTTCCATCTGACTGCGCAGCCGGATCAGCGCGTGTACCTCGGGCTTGGGCCAGCGCTTGCTGTTGGGATCGAAGCTCTCCTTCTCGCCGCCGTGGTCGTCCGCGCCCGCGCCCCCCACGCCGGCGCCAACACCAGCCCCGCCCGCGCCCACCCCAGCTCCGTGGTGCGCCTCGGGGACGACCACGGTGAGCGGGGGCGGGGGGGCAATCTGAGGCAGCTGCAGCGTTTGCCCGGTGACCTTCTGCAGGAAAGCCACCAGGGCTGCGTCGCGGGTGGCCGCCAGAGCGTGCTCCTGCGCCCGGAGCTCGTGCTCGCGCGTCATGCGAGCCATTTCCTGTCGTTTCCACGCTTCTTCTCTGACCAACCTGTCCTGCTCCCGGCGCTCTATGGCGTCCAAAAACTTGCGCTGCATTGCCTCCTGCTTTTCCATTAACTTCTTCACTAAACCTTCAATATACATCATCTTGGAACTGCCCAGCCTCCCGTCCTTGCGCTTGCGCTTCTTGCTCTTGTCTTGCTCGTCGTTGTCCCCCGGATCATCGTAGTCGTCCTCGGAGTCCGACGACAATTGCACTCCGCTGCTGTTCTCAGCCGGCCGTTGCGAGGATAAATTTCCTTCTGCTCCTCCACCAATCGCTCCTCCGCTTCCGCCTGTTAGCATCATGCTTCCACCGTCTGCCTGTTGATTGTGGTTATTCCCACCCCCACCGCCATATAGGGCCTCTAACTGGCTAAAGAACCGGTAGCTTTTGCCATCTTGCCTGCCAGCCCTACCATCCTTAGTCTTCTTGTAGTACTTATGCACGTTTTCGAATTTCTCCTTGCACTTCTTCGAGCTCCTGTGGTATCCAAGCTCCGCCAGCTTCCTGCCGAGCCAAATGTCAACCGATGCCCACGATTAGCACTTGTAATTTACAATCCACAGCGCGCCCGACTGGAAAATGCCCAAGACCCGACACTAACTCGAGAAAAATCCTCACAATCGACTCGCGTCGAGGCATTGAGCGGCAGCCCAAGATCATGGTACCCTCAGGATATCCCCAGCCCATCTTCTTGGTCCGACGTCGGCAGCGCATCGCTGGAGAGAATGGATGTAATTCAGAGCGTTCGAGGCAAGGCGCTCGGAAAGAGTGGAAGACTTGGTTGTAAAATAAATCTTCGGGATGCGTCGGCCATCTAAATTTACTCGCCTGCCGGGCAGGGCCCAGCATCGCCCCATTCCTATATCCTAACGTCGCGTTCGAGCATCACGAGGAAGAATCTCGGGAGCCGCACAGATGCAAACGCATACGACACGCTTTTGCATATTCGACACAACATCTCAGGTTGACAGGAGAGAATTTTTCGATCAAGTTTCTCTGAGACATGAGCGCGTGTCAAAGGCAGAAGACTAAGAAATACATTTCAGAGAGCTGAAGGCGGCGAGCTCGAGCAATCCGGTCTTGATTCAAATTTGGTTGCATAATGGATTGTTGGAATTTCATTTATAATTGTCACATATGGATACAAAGAACAGACACGAAGGAATACTGTACAAGACTCAACGAATGGAACCTAGGATTTGTCCCTCGTGAGTAGCATTGCATCTGGTCGGGGCTCCGTGGAAGCCTCCGCTAGCTGCACTCTGCCGGGAACGAGCTAGCTCGCTCGACGGGATTAGGATTGAGCGAGACCCGACTGCCGCGCAAAGAGAGACCTGAGTAATCGAACTCGCCTTCCGTCGGGATTAGGATTGAGCGAGACCCGACTGCCGCGCAAAGAGAGACCTGAGTAATCGAACTCGCCTTCCGTCGGCCTAAGGTCGGGGGAGGGGGACACGGCGAGCCCAGACCATTGGCGTGTTCCATCTACACATGTACGCAAACCCTGGGAAAGTTTGTAATTCCTCGAAGAAAAACACCACCTCAACAAGAACACAGAAGGAGAATTCGCGACGAAATCAATTACCGCGAGACATCCTCCCAGAGAGGTCCCTTGAGGCCGGAGTCTCGGAAATTGGCATCCATTTCCGACCGAATCTTAATCAAAGCCAATGTCTCTTGTCTCGGCCAACGGTTACCACCTGTACCCCTCCCTTCCTCCTCTCCACCATCGTCTTCTCCGAGCGATTCCCTCTGTTTATAGCTGGTGGGCGAGGGGCGACTCGCGACGGGAGAGGGAGCTTCCGGCGAGTCGGGACCGAGGCCGAGCTGCTGCAGCTGCTGTTGTTGCTGCTGCTGCTGTTGCTGCTGCTGTTGTTGTTGCTGCTGCTGCTGCTGCTGATGCTGTTGATGTTGCGCATGTTGCTGGTGTGGTTGCTGGTGTGGATGCGTGGGGTGCTGCTGCTGGGGGTGTTGGGGGTGCTGCGCATGTTGGGAATGCTGGGGATGCTGCGGGTGATGATGCTGTTGGTGTTGCGGGTGGTGGTGCTGCTGATGGTGCTGGGCATGCTGCAAATGGTGAGGGTGTCCGTGGCCTGTAGAGGGAGAAAGTGTCATTTCATGCGAGAGAGTGAACATGTGTGCGGGTGCTGACCGCACCACGAACTCCTGCGGCACCCCATACTGGCCACCGGCCTGCATCTTCTCGTTTCACTCTCGCAGACTTTCCGATTCTCGACCACTATCAAATTCTTACGGGCCTGAACCGAAGGATCCACATCTTTCTAATGCCCCGACTCCTCTCCTCACCAACCTGCGGTCCAGAGCATGGTCGACAACTCTCGAGGAAAACGCTAAGCCCGCTCCACGAGAGACGAGAGAGAGATAGATGGAGGGTGCGTGTGCGTGCGTGCGTCCGAGCGAGCGAGAAAGGAAAGGAGGTGTGATACGAGCGAATACACACTCCACTACACTACACTCCAATAGTACTTCCAGCAGTAGTTTAGTAGACCAGACCAGATCAGTCCAGTCGCAGTGGCAGCGCTGGAACCAACACCAGGAATTTACCAAACCATACCAACCCTCTTCTCTTTTCTTCTCCCACGTCCCCCTTCCTCTGCTGTCTTCCTCCTCCCCTCCCTCTCGCGTCCGTCCCCTGAAGCTTGGCATGCGATTACACTTCGCTGGATCAGATGATGACGAACTAACTCCCTCACTGCGAGTGTACTATACTAGGAACTAGTAGTAGTAGTAGTAGATATGCCAGGGAAACTGGAGCTGCAGCTACAAGTAGCTACCCGAAGGCGACAGGATGCTAGAGATGAGACGGAATCCTCTCAGCACAAGCGCGAGCAGCGAAGGAAGGCATAGATAGATGCCATGGAAGTGAAATGCCGCAAGTTCACATGGATCGTTCGCGCCCAGATGGCCAGAGTTGTGAGCCCCTCGACGGAAGAGAGACAGCGAGCGAGCTTTAGAGAGAGGAATAGAAAAAGAGCGAGCGAGGGGGCGAGGGAGGCAGGAGGGAAGGGGAGGGCCGGGAGTGGGATTGAGTGGGGGATGAGTGGGAGGTAGAGAGCAGCAGGGGCATGAAGGCCCGCATGATCAGATCAGCAACAGCTGAAGGGAGCAGGAGGAGCAGGAGACAAAGAGGAGACAAAGATCGGACACCCCCCTAGACGGTCGCATCTCGCGAGCGAAAGATTAGTGACCCGCCGGACCAGTGAACCAACCGCGGGTTAAAAGCGTATGATGTTCAGGGCGATGGAGCACTTTCTTTCGCCGAGGGTCGAGTGGTGGATCGGCCCGCCCGGCCGGGCCTTCTGATCTTGAATAGCGGGTGTCGCCGTTACGCGCCGTTGTTACACGCACGGGTAGCCCGTACTGGCCAAGATTCCGGGTGGCAGCCCCGCACGTCTGATTCGCCAGCGCCAGATTCCTCCCCGCCATTCCGTCCGACGGGCGAACGTCCGTCCGTCTGGTGGTGGCGAGAAGGGAGTGGTGGAAGCGCAACACGTGGGGTGAGGCACCGAGGCAGCAGAAAGAGCGGGGGCCAGCTTTGTCTGCATCTATGATTACGTAGTTCTCTTCGCCCCCATTGACGACGACTTTTTCCTTCTCATCTCATCCCAACCCATCCCCACTTCTTTGTCTCGATCCGATTCAATTGATATCGTTTTTATGGCATGGGTCCAGCCTTCGCTCGCTCCCCCGCGCCCCGACTTAATCACCATGGCCACTTTCTTGAACTTCTGATCAGCAATCGGCAGAATCAAGCCGCAGCAGGCATCAACCAGCCTGCTCCTGTACTGCCATGCTGCTGGTGCTAGGACTGCAAGTCGCATCGCCAGCCAGGCACGCAGGCGGGCGGGCGGGCGCGCGGGCGGCCTCGTAGTCGTCGGGCTGGAAACTTGGGGTCCGAGGCTGCTTACGTTACGATGGTGTGGTTTCTTGGCGCGCGCTCGCCAGGGGCCGCTTATAGAATTTCTTTGTTCTGTTGGTACGAAGATTGAGGGAGAGGGCCAGAGGGGAATGGGGAATGGGGGCGCTGCTGCTGCCGCCTTATCCAAGAAAGTGACTCGGGGCAGAAAGCGAGTGCCAAAATTTCGCGATGAACTCGCTGCGGTTGAAAGTGCCATCCGACTTACTCTGCTACTAACAAGGAGCCGCGCTCCTTTTTTCTCTTATCGTTCAAACTTAACTCCCCATGCTGCTGGTCAGGCCAGAGGGACATTGACATCGTTTGGACAGGAAGATGTATGCTTTTTTTAACATTTGACCATCTTTCTTGCGGGGCCTCTTCGCCGTGGAGGACAAATGGCTTTTTACTGTCATTATTCTTTCGATTCGGTTGTGCTCATGTATGTACAGGGCGGGGTTGCTCATTAGCCCTTGTTCCCACGTAGTTCTTTGGAAGTCCTCTTCTCTCGTCCACGACATGTCCACTCCCATCCCATGTCTGCATTCCTGATGCCTTTTCGCCCTCCCTTGTTTCTCTGCAAAATCTAAGCCAAACAAAGAGGCGAGCTGAACTGGATTTGAACTGTTGGGTCTGGCGAGCAAAAGTGACCAAAGATCATTCCTTGTTCCCCTGCCAAATCTTGGATAAAGCTTTCTATTTCGAGCTAGACATAAGTGGCGGACACTGGTTGGTCATCTCGGAGCCTTGTCCCCCTGGAACCAAATCTTTGCCAACCAGAGTTTCCTTCGATGTAAAGCAGAGTTTATTTTGTCCCACGGTGGACTTTGTGAGAAAGAGAGACATGAACACTTGGATCCGCTGTAGATGTATGACTTTTTGGAACTCCATCCAACTCAGCCCCATCCTCGTCCTCGCCCTTGTCCTTTGTCCAAGTCCAAGGTCCAATTCAGCAGCGGTGCTTCATGCTTTCGCCTCAAAGCCTCCATATCTATTTCCATAAATTATGGTAGGCTGACGACTGTAGAATTCTTAGCGGTTGCTACCAGCAGCTATGTCCACGTCCGTGTACCCTTGTGCAATACAACGAAGTGTACGTCAGACCTCAAGATTCTGGTAAGCAGATGGATTCCTGCTCATCGCATAGTGTGGCTAGGTCTCTCTAGAGCTACAACTAAGGGACGCTCTTCTAGAAACTCATACCGGCTGCAATGGCCATTGACTCCATAAATGTTGCATAATTAGTACAAGAAGACACACAACAGCACCACATGCTCGGAGGTACGAACTTGCGCTAGGAACGGGACTTTTGACTGATGACTTTACTGATACGGATCGCATCGACTTCACGTCCTTTTCCCTGACTCAATGCCTATCCATGCCCAACATTTCATGTCACATGTAACTCCATACGGGGCTTGTAGTGCATGACTTAAATTTCTTCATTCAAATGGCATATAAGTTCTTTAGATCATGAGGTTTACAGTTTCGCTTATGGAATTCTTGGTACTGTACTGTATAAAGAAATCAGCCGGTGAGCTTTCGTCAAGTACAGAGATCTCCTCCTACAACAAATATATATATATGTCAATAGAAGTTCATCTTTGATAAAAAAGCAGGAAGAATCATGAAAGCGTGAGATTGAAAGGCATGCGGGGCCTTGATTGATGACTTCATCCATGTAGCGGATTTGAGGCATACAGTAAAGTAACTTTAGAATAACCTAGGTTCTCACGCAATTTCTTCTTCTGGGATTTCAGCTCAATGATCATGATGTTACTTGATTGACAGTGCGGCTGAAGAGAATCTATGTGAAATATCAGCGGAAGGTCTAAGGTTAGTCAGTGGAGCTAATGCACGTTTATTTCGGAAGGTATGAAACCCATCACATAGGTTGTGTCAAGCTTACTGTTTGAATTGTACACTGTGTGGTCCTGAGAAGCAGAGGCAATCTGAACCGAAGCAAATCTAATGAGTAGCATGCTACATATGCGCAGATGGGTTTTTGTGGAATCTCGTGGAGAAGTTGCCACACTATCATAAATTTTACCGAGACAATAAATGGCATGTGTACATGGCAAAAGCGCTTTTAGGTCTGTCTTCCGATCTACCCCGGAAGCTTCCATCGTTGAAGGACGGTCACAAAAACCTCAAAGGGTGTGGAGTTACGAAGAACTGCTACGAGCATGATCTGGACTGCCAAAAGGTAACAAAATACCACCTTTCCATCCTTTCCTCAAAAAGATCAGGTACGCGCAAGTTGATTTCAGCTTGCCGAAAATCACAAATGTTATTGCAAGAATCTGAACATGCTCATGTCTTCCTTCATTCTAGATGTAGAAGCGAGTATCTAGTAGCATGATGAGGTAAGATGATGAAATACCATCGTTGATTGATAATAAGAACACATGATTTTCACCGTCGACCAATCATTGTGTTGGTGCAGATGTTATCACTGTTAGGAGGAAATAAGAAGTCTTTCAAAATTGTAGCAAAATGGTGGGTTACGGGACGCCCTAACATCAAGAAAGCAAAGAGTCACCGTGTGGTAGTGCTGTAAACCAAACCCTTCTAATAAACCACAATGCCCGGCTGCGGGTGCTCAACTTTACAGTTTTACGACATATGAAGATCGAAATGCGAAACGAATGGTGGCTCCAGGAGCAGCCGTCAACACTCACAACTCCACTGCTTCTAATTGCTGATGTAGTGTTTTCAGGATCATCATCATACAATCATTGAGATTGGACACTGGCCAAAAAATTTTGATGTGAATGGAAACTGGGAGTTACTGATTGGCTTCTGATTTTAGATCTGAGAACTTGTATACTTTTTATCATGACAGTGTCCACAGAAGTTATAGGAGTCGAACAAGAAGTGGAGGTCATGTAAGGACGATGAAAGGGAGGGAATGACCTAAAAAGGAAGTGATCCCACACTCACAGAAAGAGCACCCAGGAGGATCCGCATGGTGTAAACAGCAGTTTTACTTCAAGTTTTTAAATACGAAACGTTTACTCACTTGGTACGTGGCCGCCACATGAACTCAGGAACCATGGGGGACGAGATCTTTGTGTGATATTTGATGTGCGTACGATAAATTCTTCCTAATCTCGTCTCGTGCCCTCTATCTCTCAACAAACCTGACATGCAAATGACATCATATATCCAGACCCACACCTGTTGCTGCGAAGAATGTCTTCGGCAGCCACCGCTCTACCATATTCTACTCTTGTCAATGATTTATTTATGTTAAAAAATCTTCTCCTTCGGAAATTTTTTAAACCATAAAACTATAATATACAATAGATTCATTTGCCCACGGTCCTTCTCATCACTGGACTCACTTTCCGTATGCACAGCAGCAATCTTCCTGGGACGGCGAGTCATGTGAAGTTCTACCCCACCCCCACCAGCCCAGCCCGGCCAGCCAGCCAACCAGCCGACTCCTAGTTGCACCCACAAACAGCATCTTCTCTTTTCTCCTTTATTAACTGTGTTGTTGATTTCATCCACCTTCTGGCTGCCACTTCAGGGTTGGAGTTCTGGCATCTCGCGCCTTTCACTCTGGCATGGCATGAAAACCAGGCAAATAGTGCACCCACCCACGTTCAACACAACAGGAGAGGTATGTAATGCTCCCGAAATCATTCATGTGGGTGGTTAGATGCTTAGGTGTTGCAAGTCCTAGTAGTCGACTCCAGCCCCCCAGCCCCACCTCCACCCCCCTCTCTTATGTCATGTCATCCGCTGTTACATTTGTTAGTTGCTTTAGTCACCACAACCTTTTCTCCTTCATCTTCAGAGTCTTCTACCCAGCCCGATTCCAACCCAGGCCCACTTCCTGGGTCAACGTCGATCAGCACCCAACGCCGGCTAAAGTTCCTTAGGCGATTCAGCTCACAAAGTTCCATCCTTGCGAGGCTGACTGACTCTAAATCGGATACAATCATTTCCAAGGTCGAGACAAACTGTCATTACCTTCTACATTTTCCGCACTCCCGAACCCGCGTGCCATCACACGTCGGCGCCATGTAAGCGATCCAGATAGGGTCGGGACATATTCACCTCCCAACATGGGACTGACTCCAAGTCCAAATCCGAGCTCGACAGCGTGAAAGCACCAGGTAGGCTCGGCAACCTCCCAGAGCGAACCCCGGAGCTGAGGCAACTTGGATCAAGTTGTCCTGGCTGTCAACGACGAGGGCGGAGTCCCGAACGGACAGTATGGAACATGGGGACTCTGAAACCGCACTGTACAGCAGCGTAAAGAGCCCTTGCTCCCAGTAACCTTAGTCCACAAGGCGAAAAGGTTGGCGGACTGTGGGCTGGCTCCCATGGTAACGTATGGCTTACCCACGAGTTTGACACGAGATTGGTTGAGCGAATGGACGGATAGAAAGGTGGAACATTCACAGGAACTAGCGGACGAACGGACGGAAACGGTGCTGCTGCTGCTGCTGACTGCGGAGGCTGTGATTCAAATTCAAAAACTGAGAGAAGGGGTGATTGGCTGCCGGTAGCTTTGAGAAAGTCAGTAGTGATTCATTCACTCGGTCCCAGCTCCAGCCCGAGCCCGGCCGCGATCCAACTCTAACTAGTAGGTAGGTGGTTTGCAAGGGCTATGACAATACATCGTCGGGCCCGTGGCAGCTTTGTTTGTTAGTGAGATGTCCTGAGTCAGAAGTGAGTCAGTACTTTGGATCAGCCTGCCTCCTTTTCCCCCTCACCGTCCTTACAAATCGCGAGAGGAAGATCCCGCAATTTCAACCTGATTCTCATCCTTACCCAACCTTTCTGGATCGTAGAGGCCAAGATCTGCTCAGCCCTGCTCGCGTCTACTCTGATCGCTGCTGCATTCTTTCTTGCTCCTCTTACTCTTCCCTCGGCCTGCTGTAAGAAGCATGGTATAAAAACACATGTTGTAAGCGCTGCTAGCTAGCTAGCTAGCTAGCTGCTGCTTTGTAATATAAGTCATCAGAGGTCAGTCAGAAATGAAAGGAGGGAGCAACATGCAAGCTGGCTGTGCACCCATGTTATTCATATAAATGAATGGGACAAAGGAGCGGAAGGTTGGAAGATTTGTGTCTTAACTCTTGTTTCGTTCGTGGCCGGTTTGGCATGGCCTGGCTTTTGCCTTGGCTCGTCTTCAGATGGCTGGTGCACAGAGATACGGGACAGTACAGTACATACTCTGGAGATTCGTTCAAGGTTCCCTCCCACCCATTGAAGAGAACGGCAAGTGAAGGCCATGGCTGGCTGGTGGCCCTCATCGAACCTGCTCCCACTTTGCAGGGAGATCCATTTACGCTCCCACAAAAGGGGCACTTGGGATTGATGAGAGGACTCACGAGCATAGGCAGAGGCAGAGCAGGGCATTGTGGTCGTTGCCTGCGATCCCTTCCCACCACCACCACCGCCAGTGTTTGTAGCTGAACAAGTTCTTACTCCAATTCCCAAAGGAATCTCTTCAGACTACAATAAATTATTACATAGCAATTGCAGCAAGGGCTTGGCATAGGCTAGGGGTAAACAGGATAGAGAACAGACAGTATGAATATGGGGATCATGAGATTGAAAAAGCTTTTATGAATGTCCTCATCAGATAGAATACAGATCAAACAGAGGAAAATACAGTGGGTAATGGGGGAATGCCTCCGGCGAACACTTTTGCAGCCATATCACCGGATCTTCGGATGTGACTGTGACCGCTGCCCTCAACAGAAGGAACGACCGAGATCACAGTAGACGATATGCTCTATGGACACATATTTTTAGATATCATGATCTCGAGGCGCGACGTTCCCCACCCTTTGGATAAGATAAATGTAGCGGACTTCAAAGTAGACACTTCTGCATTGGCAGGAGCGGTAACAGCCTCTAATTTTATCCCCTACTACTCTCAGCGAAGCTTGTCTGAAGCCTGGATGAAGGTACATACCATCCCATCCACCTTCATTGGGACGTCAAGGGACGTCTTTCGATTCATCTCTACAGAAGTTTCCGCGTTTGATGTTGGAAGTGGACAGATAGCTCGCCCCGTTAGTCTTCTGGTATACATTCATGTGATTTGACCGTGTTCTAGTGTCTGTTCTTTTACCTCCCATTTCTTTATGTGCCTTTGTGTAAGATTTTAACAGAAAATTTGTGTTTGTACCAGAAAGTCCACGATAGATCCACTTACAGATTTTAAAAAACGTCGTTCTCTTATGCTTTGTACAAGGAGCACTTTTGCTGTGTCATCAGATTCTCACGCGCGCTCCAAATTTCATCTGTTTCATGAGATCGCAGCTACTTTACCGCTGAATGTCAAAACGATGCATGTGATTCTTGAAGTCTCGCTATCCAAATTTCGCGGGTCGGGTGCTCTTGATTTTAAAAAGTTTTTGGGCATTTTGTGCAACGTGATGAAACGGTGAGTGTATAGAGCCAACAATTGGAAATTCTCGGTAATCTCTTTCATAGGGAATGTTAAAAGTGCTCGCCCCGTTGTTCACATAGTGACTAGATATATATCCTCTTGGGATGTGGGGTGCAAGACTGGCCCACTTCTGCTATGTTCTCCATGCTTTCTAAGTTCACACGTGGTCCATTTTCATCTCTTCCATACCCCCCGCGCCCACACCCCCCCCCCCCCCCCCCCCCCCTCTTCTCATCCCTCTCCCCTCCCATCACCAAAAACTTGCAGACACCTTCCATGGAAATGACCATGACGGCAGACACTTTCAAATCCAATTCCATCGTTGTCGACTTGAGTTTCCCGCCAATGTTCCGCACTCTAGATCTCCCAATGGAACCTTCGTCCAGTCGCTTTTGGATTGAATTTTCAGAAGTCAGATTCACAACTCTTTCAAGTGCTGCCCTGCTCTTCTGTGCACCAGAATCAGTAGTAGAAGAAGAATCTGAAACAGAAAGAGAAGGCGAAGCAGAAGAAGAATCAACAGCAGCAGAGGAGGAAGAAATTGAGGATGTTTGTTATGAGCGAGCGAGAGCGAGAGAAAGCGGGACACCGACGACGAGAAAGAGGAGGAAACCGACCGGCGCGACCGGCGGGAGGGGGAACGGCAGGAGGAGAGACGGGCGATCGGAGCCGCGCCGAGATGGCTCGACGCTGGCTGCGGAGAGCAGGGCGAAGGGTGAGAGAAGGGAGGGCGTCCGGAACTTCGGATGGAGACGGAAGCAATGTCTATGGGTCATGAGTCATGATCGTCATTCTGACACGCGCGCGGTCCTCCCATGATCTGACACCCGTCATGTCGACTGGCGGGCCCCGCTGCGCTCCCTCCAGCAGGCCCCTCTCGGGTTGGGATGGCTGGGTTGCCTATTTTGGGTCGTTGCCTTCCCAGCAGCAGCAGCTAGATAAGCTACTTCCCACTGTGGACCCGGGGGCTCCGGCTTTCGGCATCCTATCCGTTGGACTTCACGCGGTAATTCGGACTTTCACGCGCATTGTCACCTATTTTAACTCCGTCTCCTCGTACCCCTGTCTCCCTCCCCTTCCCCCCTGCATCCCCAAACTAGCGAACCGGCCATTTCCCCTTCTCTGTCTCCATCCATTCAAGCTCCATCCTGGCAGTTCATTCCCCTCTGCCGCTGCAGCTGCAGCATTACGGGCTTAGGAGACAATCTTAATGTCTCCGCTCAAAGTTCGTCGATCATCTCTCTCTGCACCCCTCATTCCGGCACCAATTGGGCCCAGTGTTTCATTGATTCACACATTGATGTACAATACACTTCACTGCTGCTTCTAATACTGTACATGTTCTGTACAAGGTTTTGTTGACTGGGGGTTGTTTCAGGCACAGTGCAGCCCACAGCACTGCTGCTGTGCTCAGAAGGATGGGGTTGGGGTGTTGGGAGAGGGAATGAATGATGAACAGGGAGGTATTTGGAGATGGAGGTGAATCAAGGAGGAGAGAGGTCGAGTTAATTTGAAGAGATGAAATTTTCTAGAGTTACTCGTACTGTTTATGCGAGAGGATAAGCGAAGGCGGAGCTCTTGGTTACAAGGTGACTGACGGACTTAGTTACTGATCGGAAAGGGGTGAAAGCCCAAGTTTGGACAACAGATGCCGGGAGCGAACCGTTGAGGTGGCGAATGTCTCAAATCCCACCTCAATGGGGGAAAATGAATGAAAGGAATTGATAAGTAAGGCATCCCCAATACTCCAGAGGTATGTTTACACCACGTTGGTGGCATCGCATTAGAATTTTGTGCCCAAGTCTTTCCGTAGAGGCAACAGCAGCGTCAGAATCGACTGGATCGAGAGTGCCTGCTACTACGAATATTACTACTACTCATATAAGTTTTGCTGCTTTGGCTCTACAGTTCCTCTACCTTATCCGATCGTATTTCAATCCGTTTCTGTAAGATACTGGATGCATACAAGCTAAATCCGCGACGGAAATGCCAGTACCGTGAGGCCTAAGCAGATAGGGAGGGAAGCTGGATTGGAGTCGTCACTTCACTCGCTGGCTGGAGAGAGAGAGTGTAGAGTAGGAATCACTCAGTCATTACAAATTGCTACAGCCTACAGGTGCGACTGACTGACACACATGTACCCACCGACCATGAGTACAGCAAAGCAAAGCATAATGACAGCTATAGAATTAACAACCAATGCAAAAGTGTCCTCGACCTTTACGTCTCGCCTGACATAGAATACGTATGAATTCTCGTATGCCATGGACTTGAGTCGACTTCTTTGAAGGTTTCGACTACTACGGTCCGCTCTGGTCTGCTCTTGTCCGATCTACATCCCTCCCTTTGAGTCAGACCTACGTCGACAATAGTGCGCTCGCCAGTAATAACCTTGACCAATGGGGATTTCACCTCATCCTTACCATGATCTATCTAGTCTATCCGATGAGGAATCTACATTCCTTGTCTTATCCATCCACTTCCCCTTCGGTTCGTTCCTTCTCTGATGAAGAGTGTTTTCCATAGCAGTGTGACAATCATGGTCGGGTGGAGGAATTAGTGGCATTTCTAGGGTACGGGCCAGAAGGCTCTTGTGCCTCATTCACCACGCCTCAAATTTCCAAAAGAATAAGCAGAAGAAGGACGTAGAAGAAGTAGAAGAAGAAATAGCCTTGTTCCCTCTTCCAGGTACGCCTTCCATTTATACGTCTTGTCCTGATTCGCATTGAGCGATAACATGATGACATCATGCTCACCTGAACTAGTCGCCCACTTTCTTCCTTTCTGATCTTGTAAAAGCAAGGCAGCTCACTACATTTGCATTTCCACTAGGTGGAGTGCTTTGCATGAGATAAAAGCAAGCAAGTAAAGGTTTATCTGAGCGAATGTGGCGTCAAACATGAGTGAACTGAGTGAGTGAAGGGTCGTTTGACCCCTCCTGGAGATTTTTCCACCCTCAACACGCCACTTCTCCTCTCCCTCCCCCACTCGCATTTCTGCTTCTCAGTATCAGTCCACGCACCACAAATTAAAACAAGTAGTACCTCCCCGGGTAAGCACCTTGCAGCCAGGGCACGAACTAAACTCCAACTTTTATGTGGCCCAATTTACCCAGACAAGGAATGTGCTTGTATAGCTGTTTATATTTGGCCGGTGAATTTGGAGTCAAATTCAACGAAGCCCATCTTTACCTCCTAAGAGGAAGGGTTTCATCTGACTATTCCTTTATTTTAGAAATAGCGTCACACTAGATGTGGTGCTACACAGCTCCTTCGGGAGAAATTTGAAAGTTCGCTTCGGAGTATGCCAAATTAAACTCTCTGCATATTCACGTCTTTGTTTGGTTCCGCTTTGATCCGCCACATTTGCTCTCTCACTGTCCATAACTGGATCTACAGTCATTTCACCGGTAGCAGTGGAAAAAGCTTCTTCTTCTTCTCCTTCATTACGCATAACAGGGGCCTGCCCTGAATCGTGACCTTTATTTTCACAAGACTGTTATCGAATCTGAAGGTGTTCCTGTCTCTGGTGCCTCTGCTGCTTCTGGTGTTCGTTCAACATATTTAACTCGGATTGTAAATGAATGTCCGGATCGACGACTCTGAACTCCTTAGGTAGATCTGGTGTGTAAATCTTGACTACTGCTCGTCGATCCCGTATATACCTTAGATCTGGTGCGAGGCATAAGGCGCAATCTTCTGCTAACCCAACCCTGGGTCAGTCTTCCCCCGCGTTCTCCTCCTCATAAGATGTGCTGGATAGGAGAAACAACAGAATTGATTGAGTCTCTCTTTCTCTCTACCCCCCCCCCCCCCCCCCCTCTCTTTCTGTCTCTGACCTCGCACTCATGTCATCGAGTCCTCATGTTTCACAACAAGTAAGGTCCATCTCGTGACACCGAGTGGACTTGCAACAAATGGCCCCACCACATTGAAGGCCTAGGAAAAAGGATCTTTTCACCACTGGGTCTCACATGACGACTGAAACATGCAAAATATTTCCCAAGTGCTGCAGGAGGAGAGGTGAATAGTTTGCTCCTTACTCAGCCCCAAATGCATGTACCCCTCTGTGGCGCAACATAACGAGACGAATGTTCATTTCTGGCGTTTCTTGTGTCCGAGAAGGGAAGGAAGATTCGGTACCCCCGGCCCCCCTCCCCTCCCCCTCTACCCGCCCTTCACCGATGCTGCCAGTCCCTTCCACCGCCTACAGGCTGTCCGCCTGCCCCGCCGCCGAATGAACCGTATCCCCCTCACATCCCTCTCCGTATCTCAACTTGGAGAGAACGTTCTCTTCTCCATGAACCCGTCAAGCACGTGAATCTCTACGATCCAGTCTGATCTGGTTCCGTCCACCTCTCTCCTCTGTCCCCCATCGTAGTGGCTCAACTACTCATGTTTCGAAAGCATTGGTCCTCGAGGCAAATTCTAAACTTTGTGCTCCAGTACTCTAGAGTAAGCTCTATGTTCTCCGATTTTCTATTCTCGATTGCCCCACAAATGTCCTTCTGTGCTACTGGTGGGATTCATATTCGTTTTCACAACTTTTTTGCTCGGGACGCATAAAGCATTTGAACAGAAATTGCGCCTATAAGCGAAATACAAACCTCGACAGAATTATAATTTTAAAATGACGCATCCTCATACTGGATCAAATCCCAAGAAGCACACTGCCACCTGTCACACAAAGCTGTCTTATTTCATCACACGGACAAATCCAACGAGAGGAGAGCCTGCTGGGACAGCAGTGAGACTTTACAGCAGAACTGGTAATGCTGTAAGACTGCTTGAAATTGCATCTGTTGAAAGACTTCGAAAACTCAAGGTGGCATATTATCCCTCTCAATTCAGATCATGTGGTATAATACTTGCTTTCCCGTTATAACTACCTTAACCGAGAAGAAGAATT